TGCCTTACCCAGGAATTTACAAGCTGAACCCGCCAGACCGTCACATAGTGACTATAATGATATGATGAAATGGACCCGACAAAGCAAAGAGAGACCGGAACGGCCATTTCTGGCCTGTTAGCCATCATCAGCCAGTCATACCCAATCTCAAGGGTTGGGACCCCCGAAATTTGAAGGCGGGACCTTTGGTCGTTGAGTTCGTGGTGCTGTGGTAGAGTATTGAACCGCCCGTGATGCCGTGGGAGAGTATTGACCAAAAGTCCCGGGTTCAAATCTCAGGGGTTCCAAGCCTTGAGGTTGGGTATGACTGGCTGATGACGTCTAACAAGCCAGAAATGGCCATTTCGGTCTCCCTTTGCTTTGTCGGGTCCATTTCATCATATGATTATAGTTACTATGTGACGGTCTAGCGGGTTCACGTTGTGAGCTCCTGGGCAAAGCGGAACTTAATTGTTCCTCTACTAGATCAGCGAAGCACATATATTCACTTAAGTAGGTCTTTATTCTTAAAATGTAAGACTAGGCTTATACACTGGACGTCTATGAACGGGCGGTTGAGTAAGAAACAGCTCGAAAAAATTGAACAATTTCCTTTTGAGTGAAGCCCTGGGCCGCATGCATGACCCAAGTCGTTTCAATTATGATAGGTGTGTTTATTACATCTGACTGAAGGATGGATCCGAGGAGCAAGTCCTACTAAGAACTGGAAGATACAACTCCCCCTCCTCCTCCCAAGGTCAGAGAAGATCGTAACCCCTAATCTGGAATCTGGCAGTCACCTCGGGTGACTGAACAAGACTTTTTAGGGGGGGGTGCTTACACTGATTATCTCCCAGAATGCGGGAGCTATAATGTGTGCCCTTATTAATCACTCGTTGATTAGCGCGTTCACTGATCGCTAACAGAACTCACTAGTCCTGTTATGCTTGACGCTTACTCTCGAGCCCCGCCAACAGCTGCAAAGCGCCTAATAGTTTAAACAACTAGTGAGTTTCGTTAGCGAGCACGTGGTGCAGTCGTTAGAGCGCTGTGGGTTCGAGCCCCTCTGGTACTACACCACTTGGGGTTGGGTATGACCGGCTGATGACGGCCAACCAGCCAGAAATGGCCATTCCAATCGCCCTTGCCTTTGCCGACAATGCTCAGTCTGGGTCCTCTATTTCGCGTGGCTGGCTGTTGCAATAGAAATGCGCGTGTGAAGAGGAAAGCTAAAAGCTAAAACAAAAAATTACCGTCATGTCGAAATCGAGATCACTGCCAGTACAGCCAATGCCGGCGGTGGTGTTGCCGTCAACAGCCCCCATCAGCCTCTCCTGCTCGCTGACGT